AGTGCCATGCTGTGTCCTTATCCAGGAGTCTGCGAAGAGGCTCACAGATCTCCGATAGCCCTGGCAGGAACTTAGCCAGATATGTCACAAACCCGATCATGCGTTGCGCTGCCTTAGCATCCGTGGGCGTCGGCATGTCCAACACTGCTTGAGTTTTCTCTGGGTCGATTTTCAGTCCTTCTGTAGACAGTACATGGCCGTGGAAATGTACAGCTTTGAGCTTGAACTGCAGCTTGCGTTCACTCAATCTGAGCTTCACAGCCCTGCACCGTTGCATGAGAGCTCTTAAGTTGGTGTTGTGGTCCTCTTCAGCCTCTGCGTCCGTATTGCCACACCCGACCACCAGGATGTCATCCGCAATAGGCTCGATGCCAGCCAGGCCTGATAGCAGCTCATGTTGCTTGCGCTGATAGATCTCTGGCGCCACTGAGACTCCAAACGGGAGTTTGAGCCATCTCATCCGACCCCATGGGGTCCAGAATGTCGTCAAGCGGCTGCTTTCCTCATCAAGCTTGCACTGGAGAAAGGCGTCACGAGCATCAACCAGTGTGAAGACACGAGCCTTGGGCAGTTTGTACAAGACGTCTTCTAGCGTTGGCATGTGGTAATGGAACCTGAGAAGTGCCTGATTGAGAGGCTTTGGGTCAATGCAGATTCTTATCTTGTCTGGTTTAGCTACTGTCACCATGTTGCTTATCCACGCTGTTGGCTCTGTCACTGGCGTAAGGTTGCCTGCTTTCACATGTTTGTCCAGCTCTTCCTTAACCCGGGCTTTTAGCGCTACAGGGACATTTCGTGGTGAGCACTGGACTGGTGTCACTTCAGGGTTCAGATCGAAATGAATATTACCTGGGACTGACTCCATCGGGTCATGGAAAACATCATGAAAGTCTTTCAGTAGCATTTCTTTTGTGAGTGGCATAGACTGGCTTGCATCAATAGTGTTCACCTCCGCTGGCAGTAGTTCTCTTGGAATAGTGAATTTCACAAGGCCCAGATCAGTGCATGCAGCACCACCGAGCAGGGGCTTTTGTTTGGTGTTCACTATCTCAAACACAAGTCTGTGTATTTTCCCCCTGACCACACAGTCAGTGTGAAATTTCCCCAGGGATGGCATGTATGTGTCAGAGTAGGGCTGTGCAATTAATCGTATTTTAATCGCGATTACGATTATGGCTTGCGACGATTAGGAAAACAGCATAATTGACAAAATACGATTATTTTGCTGGGTGCGCTTTCGCCCCTTCCTAAAAGCCCACTCGGCCACGTGGGAGTGACATGTGTTGTGAGTGTTCAGCGCGAGCGAAGATGTCAGAACAAGAGCAGCAACTAGTTAAAAAGAAGGGTCGCGGGGAGATTCCCAGTCGATCGCGAGATGTGTCTAAAAATAGAACAACAATATTCTGTTTTATCGTTAATGTCCTGTAACATAATGTTCCCGTGCCAGAATAATGCACTTGAACGCATCAAAGCTTTGTGATTGGCCGGCCTCACCCCATGTGTCTGGGCGTGGCTGGTGAGCAGTGCACTAACACATGAAGTCTTTCGAAGACAGCGAAGTTATGAAAGAAGCTTTCCTGGAGGCTGCGACGCGCTTTTGTGGGATAGTAAAAATAACAGCAGCATTTCAACAGGTTTTTGACATAATAAAAACTCAATTTAGATACCGTTATTAATCTGCTGTAAGTTTTAGTTTGTTTGAATTTATTCATGATAATTATTGTACAAAATGGTATAAGAATGCAAACATTAAGATATGTTCTGTTTAAATTGATTATAGTCTATCAGTTCAGAAACTAGTGTTGCTTGCATCCTATTTTAAAGGCATTTCTTTTTATACTCTAATAAAATGCAACAAAAAATGGGTTTGATTCTATTAATGTTGTCTTTTTTATTGCACTGTTGCAGCAGATTACTGTGTAGCTTCAGATCTGAGTTGTCTTATTAGTAAGCCTAATTTATACTTTTGTAGCAACACTATTTTTATATAATGGCAAAGAAAGGGTTCTTCAGAGTCTTTTCTTTTTTTCCTGTGTCATATGTGGCAGCACTGCCACAAGTTCCTCTTCAGAGAGGGTCTTCAGTACAGGTGGCAATATCGTCACCTGCCTGCGCTCATCTCTGAAACCAGACCATGTAAACAGGCTGGTGTTTCTTGCAAAAAATCTTTAAGAGATGACATGAGCAGCCTTACCAGCATTTGCCATGGTGGCCTAAACATTTTTATTTGGTCTTAAATTGTAGTTCAACATTTATTTCCTGTTACTTCTGGACCATGACGGTTGGCCAGCCTTCAACGTTTAACTGAGTGGAATATGTTGAATATGTTGAACCAAAATGTTGGCTATATGTTAAGGAGTGTTCAGTAGGTTGTGACAGTGCACTGCATCATGTTTGATTTAATTTATTTTGGTCTAATTTATTTTTATTTATCATATTAATATATGTTTAGTATGGTTTTGGAAGTGCGCTCCAACACATTTATTGATCTTGTTTATTGGTAAAATATTATTTGTTTTAAAGTTCAATAAATGGTCAATGAATAATCGTCAAAATAATCGTGATATCAATTATTGACCAAATAATCGTGATTATGATTTTTGCCATAATCGCACAGCCCTATCTCAGAGTACAGCTTTAGCCTTGTTCTGGTCGGCTGTAAGGCTGTCTTTGGTGACAGTTTCTCTTTAAACTGGCGGCCCATAACATTGCAAGTGGCCCCTAGCTGTCTTTTCTTATTCAGGTGTAGGTGTACAAACCATTTGCATCCAGGTGCTTTCACATTCCCCACATATTCAGTGACATTGTATAGGTTTTCACTTGTATCCGAGTCCCCTTCAGTTTGCTGTACATCCTCAACAACATTAACTTTTCTTGTTTTCTCTGCTCTGCTGCTGGCCTGACATACTTTTGCAAAGTGATTTGAAATGCCACATGCTCGGCAGGTCTTACCATAGGCTGGGCACTGCTCTCTGCCCCGTTTGTGTCCATTTCCACAGTATTTGCAGGTCCACTGCTGCTCTCTCTCAGCCGCTGTGTTTCTTTCCGCTGTTTTCCACTGTATTTTGCGTCGTCCGCCTTGCCTGTCCACCATAGAATTAATACTGTCCACCTGTGCCTGCGGGCTCTCAATAAGCCTCATGCGTGACTCCGTCAATTCTGCAAGGCGGCAAATCTCCACAGCTGTTGGCAGCGTTAGGTCCCGTTCACGCAGCAGTCTCCGTCTGGTGCTCTCGCTGGCAATACCGAGTACCAGCCTGTCCCTAATCAGTTCATCTTTTAGGTCACGGTACTCACATGATGATGCTTTTTCCCTCAGCTTTGTTATAAAGCTATCGATCGGCTCGTCCGGTCCTTGTTTGCAGCATCCAAACGTGTATCTCTCATAAATCAAATTTTTTGCCGGCTTGAAATAATCCCCCAACGCATCCAAGATTGTTTTGGGGTCTTTCTTTTGTTCCTCGGTCAGCGTGACGTTGTGCATATATATATGCCGGCACTCGTTCCCCATAAGCCGTCTCAGCGTGGCTGCCTGCACCGCATTCGTTTTTTTCGGTCAGACCTGTAGCGAGCATAAAGTCCTCAAATTCTGCTCTAAAAACCTCCCAGTTTTTTGCTATATCACCAGACATATGCATGCCCTCGGGTGCCGGAATACTGTTTGTCATCATGACGTGAGTTTTCTTGAGCTTTTAGTCTAAGAAGACCACTTCTGACACCATGTTTCAGTCTGCAGCTTTATTCCGTAACTCACAACTCCATCACATGTATATTCCCGCGCTTGCGCATATAGTACATCACAGTGTAAGCCTGTGTCAGCATGCAGTTTACTAAAGCGCCAACAGGCGTCACTATATAGCAGGCATTAACAGATGCCCATATCTGTAACATCGCCTACTGATTTTAATTTAACCATATATCAAGACCGATTGTCGATTACCAATAATCGAATGTAATTGTTTGCCTGACTGGCCATCGTAATCGAGCTCTTTGAAGATCCAAAAATCCATGGTTTTCAAAAATATTTGATCGGATTGGCAAAAACTTCAGAATTTGTATTGACCGCCATTCAAATGACAGCGTTGTTTTCCCCCAAAAATGGGCGGGGCCGTAATTTTTGCCCGGAAGTGCCGTAGGTGTAGAAGAACCGGGTTTTTTTGCTTTGTATGTCGGGGGCGGGATATTCATGTGATATTCATGTGATTGGTTGTTGGTCGCGAAATCCCCAAGCTGTCAGAAACGCCCAGCTCCAGGATTTTCAAGATTTGGTCAAAGCTGCTGTGTGGACGGCCCGCAATGTTCAACTTTTGAGGCTGAGCTGGAAGCGACAGCCAATCAGATCCGTTTATGCAAATCTGACAGTTCAAGCGCTAGCCAATCAAACCGCGTGCAAGCTGGGAGAACCAGACCCGCAGTTCATTTCTATATTCCACAAAAATGGAGGAGAAGTTAGTTATTGCGGTAGCAAATCACCCGGTTCTTTATGACCAGTCCCTATTTACTTACTGGGATACAAACCGGAGGAACCAGGCATGGAGGGAGGTGGCAGAGGCAGTGGGTGAAACTGGTAGGTTTTCGCTTGTTTGGGGATTTGATATCCAGTTTACTTCGTTGCTAGTTTACTTCGTTGCTAGCAAGCATAGACAGTATCATTAGCCAGCATGGAATGTAGCATAAAATAGCACCATAAACATTAATCTCATAAATGTTCATCATAGCCCTTCCTAATTGACAATAGTGTAGAAGAACCGGGTTTTTTTGCTTTGTATGTCGGGGGCGGGATATTCATGTGATATTCATGTGATTGGTTGTTGGTCGCGAAATCCCCAAGCTGTCAGACACGCCCAGCTCCAGGATTTTCAAGATTTGGTCAAAGCTGCTGTGTGGACACACCGTTAGCCATGGCAGTGACATTGAGCAGAAGACTAAATATCTCTTTCTTCCCCCCCTAAAGTCTCTCGCTCTAGTTATGGCAGTATTTAACATACGTCCATATGTTGTTAAAACAGTCGGGCCTGTTTCTTGAGATCATTTTTCTTCCACAGAGCCAGCCGGTCAAAATCCTCCACAGTCATGCCGAACACTTGGAGGAACTCCTCTGGGGACAGGTGACGCTGAAACACAAATATAAAAGAGATGACAGTTAGCATATGATATTAGTTTTTTCTTGTTTGACAGTACCTAAATACATTTTACATGAAGGTTCAAGGCTTTTATTGGTCATACGAACATAGCTACAGTGTAGTTATGACGATGGAAATCTTAGGTCCCAGGCTCCTCAAACAGTGCAACACAATAAAACAGATACACAGAAAAAAATAGTGCAAAAACAAAAATAGTAAAAAGTGAAATAGTTCAATAAGATTCTATATACAAGTTTTTGGAATATGATTAGATAAATCATTTCTAAGTAGCAGCCAGATTAATGTCATGGATGTTGTTTCAAAGTTCAGGTGTTTAACAGTCTTATGGCCAATAATACATTCTGGCTGTATGGGCCGGCTCTGGAGCCGAATCCATGGCTGCCGGGACCGGTTCTGGAGCAAGGACCATGGCTGCTGGGGCCAGAACTGGTTCTGGAACCATGGCCCTTTGGGCTCGTGTTGCCAACCTGGCCTTGCGACTCCTTCCCTTAGGAGCCGTTTGGAGGCTCCGTGGACCTCCAAAGGCCAGACGAGTACCAGCGAATGGCTCCTGGACTGTAGCAAACACTGGGTGAGAAGCAGGGGCTGACGCCAGACGGACCACACCGATGCGTGTGGTATCAAAACGGGAGTTGGGAGGCCTGGGGCTGTCAGGCAGGGGATAACACACCGTGAGAAAATCCAAAATGCTGCCCGATAAGAATTTAACCAAGCCTGGCTTCTCCATAGTAATCCGGCGTGCCTCTGCCAGAACAGCCTCTCGCTGCTGAACCCTGGACGCTCTCAACCATCGATACGAGCAGTCATCCAAAGCAAAGGAAAACTCGGTGTTACGGTGTGCAGGAAGCAGGACCCAAATGCAGATTTAAGTGACAAAATAATTCCTTTATTTCAAGGCTACAATATTTCAGAGCCAGAACCGAACACTCACCGCAGTTTACTCACAACACAAGACAACCCGACAAAGAGAGACAGAAAACCCAGAACTTAAATACACCCAGGACTAATCACATAAATACGAGACAGGTGAGGAGGGAGGAGAAAATACAGAGGCACCAGGTGAACACAATCAGGGAGGGAAACAGACAGAAAGCAAACAGGCAGGAAACGGGGGTGAACACTTTGCAAAATAAAACAGGAAACCCAAAGATAGAAAAAGACTAGAAAAACACCAACACAGACAGATCCTAATAGCATGAGACGCTGATCGTGCACGCTAAGGCAGGCTACGTAGGGATCATAACAAAGGAACACGACTATGATTGGCCAAAGGCTGAGTCCTACAGAGATCTCAACGTGCTGTAGAGCTAACACCACAACTAGGATGAGTATCCGATAAATTAGCAGACACTCTCGGGTTACTGGGAGAGTCGAAAAGTCGAGAGGCTTGTCTGAGCTGGCGTGTTGCGCTGGTCTCGCGACATCCTCATGAGGAGGGGAAGCCACCATTTCTGGCTTTCTCTCGGGCACAGCTTTATCTGGGAGCACCGGCACAATCACAGGATCAGACAATGGGACATCATAATCACTTGTACTCGCCTGTGCACGTGTGTGTGTGTGTAATCAGGCCAATACCTCTTGTCACTGGAACCACAGTGTCTCTGTTGGAGTCCAGCACCGGCTCTAAGGACACAGTGTCTGTCAATCTGGCTCTTACTTGATCCACATGCCGCTTCACGACTTGACCACTTCCAATGATCACTGTATATGACACTGGACCTGATGAGCTGTCGATGACCGCAGGGATCCATTTAGGTCCATAAGAGTAGTTTCTGATGAAAACTTTATCCCCAGGTGAGAAACTTCTCAGTTTCCTGTTTGTGTCATGGGACTGTTTTCATCTTTTTCATCCCCTCTTTGAAGGTTTGGACCGCCCTCTCTGCCAGCCCATTAGAAGACGGGTGAAACGGTGCTGAAAGTCTCAAATTCAGCACTTGTAAAACAGGTTCCGTTGTCTGACACCAACATTTTTGGCAGTCCAAAAACACTGAAACTCTGACGTAGCTTTTCAATGATCACCTGTGATAAATATCCATCCATTTTGAGTGAGCATCCACTATCAGTAGAAACATCTCTCCCAGTAAAGGACCTGCATAGTACACATGAATTCTCGTCCAGGGAGACTCCGGCCACTCCCAGGGATGTAATGGTGCTGATGGTGGTGACTTGTGGTGCTTTTGGCACTCCTCACAAGACTGCTCTTCCTTTTCTACATCCTGGTCCATCCCCGGCCACCATACATAAGATCTAGCCAGACCTTTCATCTTTGACATGCCGGAATGTGTTTGGTGCAGTACTTTCAATATATTTTTCCTGCCTTTGTTTGGTGCGATGACTCTGGCTCCCCAGTGCACGCAGCCATCCATCACACTCAGTTCCTCTCTCCTCTGATGATACGGCTTGAGAGGAGCCTCAGTCTCTGACGGCCATCCCGACAAGACATAACCATGAACTTGAGACAATATTACATCCTTAGCTGTCCAGTGTTTTATTTTGGCTGTGTCCACGAGTGTGTCATCCAGAAGATCAATCATGAGCACTTGTTCTGCGGTCTCACTCTCTCGCACATCTTCCGACAGCGGCAGTCTGCTTAATGCGTCCGCATTAGCGTTGTTCTTTCCTGGTTTGTACACAATGTGATACTCATAGGCACTCAGGTGCACCGCCCATCTCTGAACTCTAGGGGAACCCATCTGTGGAATGGGTTTCTTTTCGTTGAAGAGAGAGATCAGTGGCTTGTGATCTGTATAGATGGTGAAAAATCGACCATACAAGTACTTGTGGAATTTCTTGATTCCAAATATAACTGCTAAGCCTTCTTTGTCTAGCTGTGAGTAATTCTTTTCAGCAGGCGCTAGGGTACGCGACATGAACCCCAAAGGACGTTCAGTTCCATCGTCCATTACGTGTGATAAAACAGCGCCCACCCTGTAAGGTGACGCATCACATGACATAATTAACTCTCGGTCAGCAGAGTAATGCACCAACACTTCTGCTGAGTTTAACAGGGCCTTTGATTTTTTAAAAACCTCTTCCTGTTTCTTTTACCATGTCCATCGCACATCTTGTCGCAGGAGCTCATGCAGTGGTGCCAATAGTGTAGCTAAGTTTGGCAGAAATGTGTTATAGTAATTTAGCAAACCTAAGTACGACTTGAGTTCAGTAACATGTGTGGGGTTGGGAGCCTCCATGATGGCTTTGACTTTCTTTTCCACAGGGTGAAGTCCCTGTGCGTCCACTCGATGTCCCAGATATTCCACTTCCTCTTCCAGGAAAGTGCACTTGCTCCTTCTCAGACGCAATCCTGCCTCCTCCAGCTTTGCCAACACTGTTTCGAGGTTCTGCAGATGGTCTTCCTCATCCACACCGCTCACCAGGATGTCATCTAAATACACTGCCACGAAAGGAATGCCTCGCAGGAGACCTTCCATTGTCCTCTGAAATATAGCTGGGGCTGATGCTACTCCAAAAGGCAGTCTGTTGTATGTGAATAAGCCTCTGTGCGTATTCACTGTTAAGTATTTCTTTGATTCATCATCCATGAGTATTTGCTGGTATGCATGACTCATGTCCAACTTTGTGAACTGTTTTCCTCCTGTCAGTGCTGCAAATAGATCTTCCATTCGGGGTATGGGGTATTGTTCAAGTGAGGAAACTGTATTTACAGTGAGCTTGTAGTCTCCACGTAGCCTTACTGTCCCAACAGGCTTCAATATTGGAACCACTGGTGCTGCCCATTCTGCATGTTTAACAGGTGAGATTACTCCTTCTTTCAACAATCTGTCTATTTCTTCATCTACTTTGGTGCGCATGGCATACGGGACAGACCTTGGACGGAAGAAACAACGGACTGAATCAGCCTTTACATGGATGGTAGCTTTCATACCTTTCAGTGTGCCAAGCTCCTCTTTGAAGACATTTTCATGTTTGCTCAGTACTTGCTGCAGCGATTTGTCCTCTGTCTTCAGGTGTTTCAGGACTCGAGATTTGTGTCTGAGCTTGATTTATTTCCAACTCGGATATATTTCCTCCAGCCAGCCACTTCCCAGCAGGCTGGGGCCGTCCCCTTTAACCACAATGAGGGGCAGGTACCGCCTTTGATGTTTGTATTTCACTCTAACAATGGCAGCTCCGACCACATTAACAGGGTCACCTGTATAAGACTCGATGTGGATTTTGGTTGGTCTCAAACATGGACTTTTTATGTCTTTCCATAGTCTTTGGAATGTCTGTTCATTCATTATTACCAAAACCTGCATGTAAGGTGCTAACCAGTCCGTTTGGCATGTCCTCTTTGATCCCGTCTTGATCCTTGTCTTAATCCTCTTCTTAATCCTCGTCGCCAATAACATGTTGTATCTTGTGATCAATAATTGTATGTCCACAACGTAAGAGTAGATTTAACTGGTTTACTTTTGTAACAACTAAGAAGTGAGGATACCTGGCCCGGAGGAAGCCCGGGGTCCCCTTCTGGAGCCAGGCCCAGAAGGAGGACTCGTCGGCGAGCGTCTGGTGGCCGGGCTTGCCACGGAGCCCGGCCGGGCCCAGCCCGAAAAGGCAACGTGGGCAACACCTCCGCTTCTCCGTCCCGCGGGCCCACCACCTACGGGAAACATCGATGGGGTCGGGTGCGCTGCCAGAAGGGTGGCAGTGAAAGCGGAGGGTCTCGACGGACCAGACCCGGGCGACAGAAGCTGGCTTTGGGGACGTGGAACGTCACCTCTCTGGGGGGGAAGGAGCCGGAGCTTGTGCGGGAGGTGGAGCGTTACCAGTTGGATCTGGTTGGGCTCACCTCTACGCACAGCGTCGGCTCTGGAACCTTACTTCTGGATAGGGGTTGGACTCTATTCTTCTCCGGAGTTGCTCAAGGTGTGAGGCGCCGGGCGGGTGTGGGGATACTCACAAGTCCCCGGTTAGGTGCTTCGTTGTTGGAGTTTACCCCAGTGGACGAGAGGGTCGCCTCCCTACGCCTGCGGGTTATGGGGGGGAAAACTCTGACTGTTGTGTGTGCTTATGCACCCAACAGCAGTTCAGAGTATACGGCCTTCTTGGAGACCCTGGAAAGAGTCCTGTATGGGGCTCCTGAAGGGGACTCTTTAATCTTGCTGGGAGACTTCAACGCACATGTGGGCAATGATGGAGACACTTGGAGGGGCGTGATTGGGAGGAACGGCCCCCCTGATCTGAACCGGAGTGGTGGTTTGTTACTGGACTTCTGTGCTAGTCATGGATTGGCCATAACAAACACCATGTTCGAACATAAGGATGCTCATAAGTGTACGTGGTACCAGAGCACCCTAGGCAGAAGGTCCATGATCGATTTCGTTATCGTATCATCGGACCTGAGGCCGTATGTTTTGGACACTCGGGTAAAGAGAGGGGCGGAGTTGTCAACTGATCACCATCTGGTGGTGAGTTGGGTCGAGTGGCGGGGGAAGCCTCTGGATAGACCTGGTAAGCCCAAACGTGTAGTTCGGGTGAACTGGGAACGTCTGGAGGAGGCCCAAGTTCAGGAGGCCTTCAACTCACACCTCCGGCGGAGCTTTTCGGGCATTCCTGTGGAGGTTGGGGACATTGAACCAGAGTGGTCGGTGTTCAAAGCCTCTATTGCCGAAGCCGCGGCGGGGAGCTGTGGTCTCAAGGTCCTAGGTGCCTCAAGGGGCGGTAACCCTCGAACCTCCTGGTGGACACCGGTGGTCAGGGAAGCCGTCCGACTGAAGAAGGAGGCCTTCAGGGATTTGTTATCCCGGGGGACTCCCGAGGCAGTTGCAAGGTACCGACAGGCCCGAAGGGCAGCAGCCTCATCCGTGGCCGAGGCAAAGCAGCGGGTGTGGGAGAAGTTCGGAGAAGACATGGAGAAGGACTTTCGGGCGGCACCAAAGTTGTTCTGGAAAACTGTCCGACACCTCAGGAGGGGGAAGCAGGGAACCATCCAAGCTGTGTACAGTAAGGATGGGACGTTGTTGACCTCAACTGATGGAGTGTTAGGGCGTTGGAAGGAACACTTTGAGGAACTCCTGAACCCGACAACTCCGCCCTCTATGTTAGAGGCAGAGCTGGAGTATGACGGGGGATCAACACCAATCTCCCGGGGGGAGGTCACTGAGGTCGTCAAACAACTCCACAGTGGCAAAGCCCCGGGGGTGGATGAGATCCGCCCGGAAATGCTGAAGGCTCTGGGTGTTGAGGGACTGTCATGGTTGACACGTCTCATCAACGTTGCGTGGAAGTCGGAAACAGTACCGAAGGAGTGGCAGACCGGGGTGGTGGTCCCCCTTTTTAAAAAGGGGGATCAGAGGGTGTGTGCCAATTACAGAGGCATCACACTACTCAGCCTCCCCGGGAAAGTTTACTCTAAGGTACTCGAAAGGAGGGTCAGGCCGATTGTCGAACCTCAGATTGAGGAGGAACAATGCGGATTCCGTACTGGTCGTGGAACGACGGATCAGCTTTTTACTCTCGCAAGGATCCTGGAGGGGGCCTGGGAATACGCTTATCCGGTCTACATGTGTTTTGTAGACTTGGAGAAGGCGTATGACCGAGTTCCCAGGGAGTTACTGTGGGAGGTGCTGCGGGAGTATGGGGTGAGGGGGTCTCTACTCAGGGCCATCCAATCTCTGTACTCCCAAAGCGAGAGCTGTGTCCGGGTCCTCGGCAGTAAGTCGGACCCATTTCCGGTGAGGGTTGGCCTCCGCCAGGGCTGCGCTTTGTCACCAATCCTGTTTGTAATATACATGGATCGGATTTCGAGGCGTAGTCATGGGGGAGGGGGTCTGCAGTTCGGTGGACTAAGGATTGCACCACTGCTTTTTGCAGATGATGTGGTTCTAATGGCTTCATCGGTCTGCGACCTTCAGCACTCACTGGATCGGTTCGCAACCGAGTGTGAAGCGGCTGAGATGAGGATCAGCACCTCCAAATCTGAGGCCATGGTTCTCAGCAGGAAACCGATGGACTGTCCACTTCAAGTAGGGAATGAGTCCTTACCCCAAGTGAAGGAGTTCAAGTATCTCGGGGTCTTGTTCTCGAGTAAGGGAACAATGGAGCGTGAGATGGGCCGGAGAATCGGAGCAGCGGGAGCGGTACTGCAGTCGCTTTACCGCACCGTTGTGACGAAAAGGGAGCTGAGCCAGAAGGCAAAGCTCTCTGTCTACCGGGCCATTTTCGTTCCTACCCTCACCTATGGTCATGAAGGATGGGTCATGACCGAAAGAACGAGATCGCGGATACAAGCGGCCGAGATGGGTTTTCTCCGCAGGGTGGCTGGTGTCTCCCTTAGGGATAAGGTGAGAAGTTCGGTCATCAGGGAGGGACTCGGAGTTGAGCCGCTCCTCCTTCGCGTCGAAAGGAGCCAGTTGAGGTGGTTCGGGCACCTAGTTAGGATGCCACCTGGGCGCCTCCCTAGGGAGGTGTTCCAGGCACGTCCAGCTGGGAAGAGACCAAGGGGTAGACCTAGGACCAGGTGGAGGGATTATATCTCTTCGCTGGCCTGGGAGCGCCTTGGGATCCCCCAGTCAGAGCTGGTTGATGTCGCCAGGGAAAAGAAAGTTTGGGGCTCTCTGGTGGAACTGCTACCCCCGCGACCCGACCACGGATAAGCGGAAGAAGATGGATGGACTTTTGTAACATGCTTCCGGGACTTCCTCATGGGAACGTATACAACAGGCTCTTTTAATACCAAGAGTGAGTTTGCCCCCTGATGGACAAATGCAATAACATGTAATAATAACACAAGGTAAGATACCACAGTCCTTAACATCTATCACCGTGTATATCACCATTCAAACATCTTTTAAAAGTTGAACAAACCCCACACAGCTCAGTGAAATGTTGACTTTATTTGATCATTTCAGTCAAAACTAACATTCATATTTCTCTTTTTGATTATAATACTGATGAAAGTTCAAAACAAAGCACTTTGGCAACTTACCACATACGTTTTAAAATGCTTAATAAGCACCGTAACTTTCATGATATCATTTCTTGGTCATAATCGGTTGTTTCCGTGAACGGCCGACTGTTGTGTGACGGCAAATGCTGCGGCTGCCTGCAAGGCATTGTGGGGCAGCACTTTCTCCTCTCCTTTCGTCAAGGGAGGTCCAGTGGTTCCTAAGCTAAAGGAGGTTATAAAGGAAGTTTGAAACCTCCTTTCCTATCATCTAGAGAATTCGAACAGCACTTATCATGGCTGCCACTGAGGGACTTCCGGGTCATTTCACTCCGTTAGGAAGGTTCCTAAGCTAAATGGACTATTCGACTTCAGCAGTGGCGGCTGGTGGAAAATATTTTTGGTGGGGCTGTTGATATAGTGAGTTTTTTGGGGAGATATGACCCCTTAAATTAGGACTTCTGGTGATGTAATGGCGCGTTTCCAGTGCAGCGCGGAGCTTGCTTTAATGCTGCGTTCAGACCGGACGCAATGCGAATATTCGCTTCGCTCTAAACGCTCCGATCGCACGCTCGAGTTCCATCGAGTTCCATTTATTTTCCTCACAGACGACAAAAAAGTCTGACATTATACGATTTTAAAATAAAAACAATAATCATGGCTTGATTTGAGTTTAGTAGCTGGGGTAGTAACTATAGTAACGCAGTGTAGGCGGAGCCGTGACGTCATCTGCAATGCGAACCACGAAACCAATATCAGCCCGTTAGCGGTTAGCACTCAGAGCTCACAGCTCCTCAGGGGCGTCGCCTGGACCTGGAAACATTCGGGGCTTAGCCCACAGTGGCGGCGCTACAGTCGAATTTTCTACATTTCTACAATTTCACATACACAATTGCGCCATCTGGTGTCACAAACGTGTGCCTG